AGCGCACTTGAACACGGGACTTCCGAGAACAATTAAGGCGGGACTTGGGGGTCGGCTACACTGACCCCATTCCAAAGTTGAATGTTGTATAATCTGCTGGAAACTTGCACATTTGGTCTGCGATATGTGCAATTATTTTAAATAAGAAATAATAAGCATTAAACGAGAATAATTTTCACAAATCTTCCAACAACCACTTGTGTCCACGATTGTTTTAACCATTTCCTCCTCACATATAATTAGAGTCATGAGAGAGTCAGTAAATTACGTAAGCTGTATAACTGCCTCTTCTTTTCAAAAAATGTAGTCTTACAATTTACTTTAATGCGATAAGTGAGATTTAAAACTAGAGCAGTATTATTTTTTAATAGCATTGTTGACTCATAATTGCTTTTATTTCCTTCAGTACTTACCCAGTAGAATGAATTTCGTCCCCAAATTTCCCCCAAGCTACGTATACTGCGCGCGGCTCCGACGCGTACGAGTCACATCCGAGTTTTACCTGAAGAGTTTTGTCATCGGTATTTTGAACTACACAGGCAAGTTTTCCTTCTCCTTTCACGTCAATAATGTTAAGACAAACGGCTAACGAAACAATTAGAATTAGAAAACGTCGAGGCTCTCCCCATGAACCCATGTTGTTGTCTCTCACTTTTCTGTCAGACATACTGCATGTGATATAGAATGGGTAACCTGTTTTATAGCACAGTATTAACCATTTTCGCATATCCCATAATACATTTCGTTTGTGCGTTTCTTGTGGAAGTGCTTGCAAGGGCTGCAAGAGCATTATGTGGCAAGACCCTACCAGCCTAACACGCGATTTGCACCTGACGTGTAAGGGAGTAGCCATGATATTGTCGCCAAATCCATCCTGCAGGATCACCCAACGAGAATATAGTTCAAAACCAAGAGACTATAAAGGGGACAGAGAGGGCATCCCTCATATACACCCTATTCCATAGGTAATTCGTCTCGAGTTATTTTTAACACCACACATCTCAAGGGGGATTAGACAACAGCCAATCACATAGCGCGAATGTGTTCCGCGTGGATGACCCACGCTGAGAGCCACGCGTCCTTCACGAAATGACGCAGAACAAAATGGGGGAAGACGCGGAGAGCGATTTTGCTATTCCTTTTGTCGACGAAAACGACTACAGCGAGAGTTCTGCGAAAGCTGTGTCAGCGAAACCGAAATTAAAGAAGAATCGCCCTTCCTCTCTTGTATAGAGCTAACTGCAGTAGAGCAGGGAAATCCTTAACACACTGAATATTCTCTCAGGATCAATTATAATTTACAGTTTGAAAAGAGCAATTTGTGGTTTGATGTTTATTTTTTCCAGACTTTATAGCGATTATTCCTACCCACTTACTTTGTCAATTGTAGGCGAACCCTCCTAAAGCTGAATTTCAAGGGACCATATTCAAGCTCAGAAAGAGAAATAAAATTTCGTCGTTGCTTATTTACGTAGTCCATAAAACGCAAAATTAGGCATTTTCACGTCGTAGTCGTGCAAAAACGGGAAAGAAATGAACAAAAAAGTGTGTTGCACGTGCGAAGTTGTTGTTTTGCTAATTAAACCTATTGTTTTTTTAACGTTCTAGTTGTCGTCCGCGTCGTTGGATCTTAAACTCCATAAATTGTACAAACGACCGGTTTCAATAGACCGGCGAAATTTCTCATTTTATTTAAGCCCTGAGGTTTCGACAACTTCGAGTTAAACTGATTTCACGGGTTGTCAAAGAGTCCAGCGATTTCTTTTTCCCAGGTGAGCGCCGATCTTTTTACGCTTTCATTGCCTCTCGCCCGACATGTTTTGCACGGCGTTTGGTCATGCGAAACCTCCACGAAACATCCACGCCTCGCGCGAGGTAACTTTATCCCGATCTAAAAATAACTCGAGACGAATTACCTATAGAATAGGGTGTATATGGGGGATGTCCTCTCTGTCCCCTTTATAGTCTCTTGTTCAAAACCACTTAAAGTCAAGTGATCCGAAAATTATAGGGATCAGAACTTACCTTTTCGAAAATTTCAGCCAGAAAACAGGCTCCCTAAAATTCTAAGTGACCTTTTTAGGGTAAAAATCCGTTAAAAATGGGCAATTATACCATTTTTTAGATGTTCGAAAATCCTGGTAAGCAAGAAATTTTACAACAAATGTTCCGAAAATTCTAGATCTCAAATCACCCTAACCTGTAAGTTTAACACATTGTATGGACTGGCAATTGTATGTCGTAACCAGCTGCTGAAGCACTACGATTGTCCGGGGGGGGGAGGGGATCCGGGGTGGGCTCCCCCTAAAGATTTCACCGTAGGTCCGTCTCAAATAGGTGTCTAAACTCATATCCTTCTTAAATACTTATACTGATGGTTTATAGTTTTTGAAAATCAGGCGGTTACTGCTCCTTGAAAGTGCGTCAAACTCTTTACTTGACTTCAATAGAACCATACTGCATTCATCCTGTCATGCGAGGGCTTAGCCGGTAAAGTGGGTTGACTCGCTCGCTCGCGGGCATGACTCGTCACAGTTTTAGTTTTAGTTACGTTTATAAACTAAAATAAAACCGCCGAGACACTCGGGCTGTTTACCCGGGTTTTGTCCCTCTTGCTGATAGCTTTGCTCTAATTTCTCTCTGATCTATGCCTACTCTAAGCACCAACATTTTAGTCCACCAATCGAAGCGGCGCCATAAAATTTGTATCTGTTCGGTATTTGTATCTGGGACAACTGTAATTGGCTCATCGCTGTTGTGGCACCCCTGCCTAAATAAGAATAGTATTATTCATTGTTCAGTAATAGGTGAAGCTAATAAAATGAAATCGTAGTGGGGATTTATGAAATAAGCTTCGAAATTTGTACCTGAATGGAACGGTCATCCAGACATTTCTAGTAGTCCTCAAGAAGAAAATTCTAGGCAATATTTGCTTCTTTGAACAGATAATTCACAGAAAACAGTCGTTGGGTACCCCTGACAACTGATCAGAAAAACAGCAAATGATTGCCGTCGTTAACAGCTCAATCCAGGAGTCCCTCTCTCACGATTTTTTTCCCGGCTTCCCCATTGCATTTTATCAGCTACACGTGTACATACGTACATTTCTTCTTTTTTTTAACAACAAAAAGCAAATCACTTCCCTGGTTGAAAACCAACCTATTTAACATATTTACCGAATATTGCTTTGATTAAGTGAGTGTCACCGTTTTAACAAGAGACAGGGGCTATAGCATCCACGCGTATTCTGTGGTCGATCGTCAGTGCCGTTGCACGCGGTTTAACTACAGGGACTTTGGAGAAACGATCCCCAGCTGGAAAGAGGGTCTCACTGATGGGGTTAACCGATAGGCGTAAAACGGCCAAAAATTTAGTCGATAGCAGCAAAAATTGAAAAATTTTAACCGGTAGCCGTAATTAGGGTACAAAAAGTTAACCGTAAAAAATCACTTGCTCCCTAGATATGTTAATTTTAAGGAAGGTTCTAAACTCACTTATAGTGACCGGTTGCGTTTCTTATTTCGCGCGGCTCCTTTGACTTCGGCCGTACGTTCGCGTGTCTGCATTTGCTTTTTTCACGAAGGTTCTTTTCAAATGAACTGTTATGTCTGTTATTAGCAGGAATGATCTTTTTCATCCCTAATACAAAATAAAAATGTAAGTTGACTGGAAATAATCTTTTTCATTTTAATCAACAAAGAGTTCATATCATTTAAAGAGAATGAGAAAACTCTCATCATTTAGGTAGTCGCTCACAAGGATCGAACGACATGGCGCCTCTTCCAAAAAAATGGCAGGGCACATATCATCTACTTTATGGAAGATAATTTATTGCATGCAATTTCGCCATATGTAGTTCCATGTTGTTACTAAAGTTCTTCGTGTAATCTAAGTAGCATAGTGCACACAGCCTAACGTATAGAGATCAGACGGAATGCGTCAGGTGGTCGCTGACAAGAGGTTAAAAACAATGGAACATCATTTTATACTTTGAGGCCCAAAAAGCGCACGTGGTCACGGTCGCTTACAGGAGGTGGTCGGCATTGACCTAGGATTGACGGGGAAAGTTTGGGTGTTTTGGATAGGCGGTCGCTTAATTATGGGAGGTGGTCACCTATGAGAGGGGGTCGCACATGAAGGTTCGACTGTACTTTAAAAGTATGATCTATCGAATATAAAAATTTATCAAAAGAATAACTTATTTCATCCCGAGATGATCCTAAGACCTTCATTTTTCTTAACTTGGAATCCACCCTTGGTCAATCTAATGGCCTCTTTTTGTCAATAACTTCAAGGATTGTTGCCGTTTCCTTTTGAATTTTTTGTTTTTGCTTGTTTGTGTTATTTCTTTTAATGGAGAAAAGATGAAAGTGAAGCAGAGTGTTAGTCTCAGCCTCTTCCCCACATTTTTCGTTTTTTGTTTTTATTTCTGGGAAGAGCGACTGGCACGACTTGCACGACTCTAAGGTTGTGTTCTATTGGGACCAACCGTTTCAACCAAAACCGGTTTTGGTTGATTTGATTGAAGCTCCCAATAGAACACTTTTCCAACCTTTTCTAGGTATAGTCATTTCCAATTCCAGACTTCCTAGACTTCTTTTGCAAAGGTTGTCAACGTGCAACATCATTGGTAAAAAACAGAAAGGTTGCTTTGGTTCTTCTTTAACAAGTGGCCTTAAACAAACCTTCAGTCTGAATCAGACGATGAATTGGTCCAAATAGAACACGACCGTTCCAGCAGCTGACCATTCCATTCCTCTCCCCACAGAAATCAACATAAACGCGCGTGCAGATCGCGTCTTATCGCGGTCACATTTGAAGTGGAAAAGATGACAATGATATCACGTGGCCTGTATCAAAATGGCGCCTGCAGATGAATGTTGTCCTTATTTTGAGAAGAGTTTATTTGCATAAATCTAGAGTTAATCTATATTTGCCGTTTTGGAAAACGTCCTTAATACAGTTCTTGTGGAGTCACTTAGCGATTTACGTCAAATATTATGAAGCTAAACGAGAGATGCGTAGCTGAATACTCAACTTCCTCTGCCCCGATCGACAAAGAAGGTTACTTAAATAAGAAGGGCGAATTGAATAGAGGATATCAGCGACGTTGGTTTCTTTTGAAAGGCAATCTTTTGTACTACTTTGAGAAGCGATCCGATAAAGAACCGATCGGAGTTATTGTGCTGGACAATTGTCACGTAGAGTTAGCGGAAAGCGGAGAACCGTACGCGTTTCAGATCTCCTTTGGAGGAGATGGCTCCAGAACTTACATACTTGGAGCTGATACTGCGAAGGATATGGAAGCCTGGATGCGTGCTATCACTCATTCGAATTATGACTGTTTGAAAATGATGGTGGAATCGTTCGAAAGCAAGTTACAGAAGTTGACATCAGAGGAAATTGACTTGGCCACTGCAAGCTGCAGTAATTCTAAAGCGAATCCTACTTCGATCGAAAGCGTTTCCGGTGCTTCAGATTTGGTTGGTATTAATAGTAAAAAGGACAATTTAGACTCTTTTGAGGCGGCCATGGCAAGACCTATCACTGAGGGCGCTGCAAATGGTGACATTAAAAACAGTAACGGCGTAGATTTCGATAATCTACCACCCCAAAAGAGAAAAGAAGTTGTATCAGCTTATAACACTCATATCACTGTAACCAATACAGAACCAGCGGTTGGTAATTTAATCAGTCTTGGTGATGATGACGATGAGGATCAAATTCCAATCCAAAATGAATTCTCACTTAATGACAGTTTTTATTCTAACAGTGCAGACATAATGCCTCTAAGCTATTCTGATTTGGGACAGTTGGAAGATATGCACACCGAGCATCTGTTGAACAAGCTAAGTGGAAATGTGTCAAAGGAAAGCAAAGATGATAGCTATTTGACAACGAGGTTAAAGCGTGATCCTGTTCCACGAAACCTGAGGCCAAAATCTGAGCGAAGGCGAAACAATATCAATATCCGGACTTTGTATGGAAATGTTGAGCCTTCACGATTTGATCGGAGCAAATCTAAGACTCTGCCAAGGCCTTTATCAGATGTGGATACTTCTGGATATCATTCAGAACATGGTAGTATATTCAAACATCTTCACGAACTTTACAGTGCCTCAATCTGGGTGAAATGCAAGGAATATGGGAAACAAGCTAGTCAAACAACTTTGAAATGAAAATTAATCGCTACAATGTGATATTTGTTTACTACTGCAACAAGTCCTTGCAAAGACAGTGAGTTATGCTGTGATCTCTGATTTTTTTAGTTGGGCCATTGATCGCTCTTTTTTTCTGTTTAGTATCATACCACCTACCCCAATTTTTGGCTTTTTAAACAAGAAGCATTGCAGTTAAACCCTGAGGGGTGGGGGGGGGGTGGAGGGAAGGGGGAACCTGGGGGCTCCGCCCGAGGTCCAACCTTTTACCCTTTTATATACCATTTTCACGAAAAAGGGACCCCTTTCGTTTTACCTTTTTTTAGAACTTTGCATCCCTTTTAACAGCTGTAAATGCAGTGTCTTTTAAATAAGAATCAATCACAAAAGTAGAATATTTTCTCAACTCTTTAAAAAAGCCGTAAAATTCATGTGTTAGCCCTTACCTAAAGCCTGAACAAGGAGGTGAAGCCTCCCCTTATAGGCCATCATAGGGAGTACCCTCCCCCCCTAGGAGTTAAACCTTTTTTTTTCACTTTAATTAATTCTTTTAATCTAAAAAAAGAGTGTTGTAACAGCATTTTGTAGCATCTGAGTGGAGTTTCAGTGGTGCATCCTTTTTGCCAATAATGTTTTGTTTTACTGTGACATTGACCATCACATTTACTGCCATTTACCTTTTATTTTTATGTAATGTTACATAGTTTTCACCTCTGTACATTTTTTGTACTATCACAAAAATGACAACTTATAATTGATTACTCATACATGTGGTGCTTATGTCCTTTAAGTAAAACACTAAGTTTCAATGAAAAACTTAAATTGACTGCCAGTTGCCAATGGTTGCACCAGCAGGATTACTGGTATTGAAAGACTTGTTTTGCCTATTACATCATCTCTTCACATGGCTGCAATAATATTCTCTGTAATCTTATGTTGGTCTGTTTGTTTGAAAGTCTGTATATTTTAGCACAGGAGAAGAGAATTTTAGTTAGGATAAAACAAGGATGTTAATGTTAGTGAATGTTAGGAATATTTAGCTATTTCGCTTCCAAATAATGTGGTTTTATTCTAAAATTGTCATTAGTAATAATGCTGGCCAGCTGTTTTTGAGAAGAAACACATACAGTCCACTCCTGATAACTTGAACCTTTAAGGTAAACCGAAAAAAAGTTTGAGTTAGTGGAAGTTTGATTTATCGGGACTTCAAAGCAAATAACTGGAAATAAGGAAATGGGATGGGGAATGAATGCAAGTAATATGCACACTTCAAAGCTTGATAAATATGTATTACTGGACTCTGTATTTAAACTGGACTGAAAAAAAAAGTGAAGACGGAGAATACGTGGTTGTTAAAAAAATTCAATGTTTCAGAATGCTGCTCACTTGTTTTCGACTTGTCAGGTGCTTAAAGCATGATTTGAGTTATTGAGGCTAAATTTTATTTAGAAATGATCAGAAGGGAAACAAAAATTTCTTCGAGTTAGTGGGAGGTTCGAGTTATCGAGGGTTCCAGTTAGCGAGGGTAAAATTATAGTAAATGTATGAAGGAAATTCAAGGGAGATCGATTTTGGTTCGAGTTAACACGATGTTGAGTTAGCGAGGGTTTGAGTTATCGGGAGTCAACTGTAATGAAGTAATAAACTTAGAGGCATTGTATACAGCTTGAGCTAACATTTAATCTCTTGAAATTATTTGTATATTAATTTTAAATCATTTGGTTTTGAAAATATACGGAAATACTGAGTCTATAGCCAGTAAGGCTGAAAAGGTACAAAATTTTATGTGCAGTATCAGATGAAACGTAGTCCAGATATTAAAACTAATTTATGAATAAAGTATATAATTTATTTTTAATTTTCATGGGAAGCCTAATGCATCCAGTGGTTGTTATAATAATTATTAACTTCTATTTTTGTTAGAGAGATGTCACAAGAACTTTGCCTTTGGTGCCTTTCAGTTTACCCTGTGAACAGTGGTTTCTCCTGGCCGCTTGGAGAAACTGCTGTTCGCAGGGTACTTTCAGTTATGCCTATTGACAAAGAGCAGTTATTTCAAAGTGCTTTCTAATTGCCTGCCTGTAAAAATCTTCATCCACGTACAAATTCTCCAGACTAATCTCAATACATTTCCTTAAAGAATTAGTTGAGGGCATTTGATAAAAAGTTGAATTTTTCCTACTTTAGTGATCAGTTTATCAATTCTCATGACTTTTTCTCTTGATTAAGCATTGATATTGGTAGAAGAAAATTGATGATGGTCACTTTTGGGACTTGAAGAGCTGGCTTATCACCAGCATAGGAGGGAGTCAAGTTATTACAATAATTATCTTGTTTCCAGTAATTCTTGGGACAAATTTGATGAGAGAGAATTGTATCAAAGAAAGTGGTTATAACCTCAATTACGTCCAAAAATTAACAATTAATGAATGAGGCCAAGTATCTTATGGAGAATTATGGAGATTGAGGAGGGTGTTATCCGTCGAGGCGGTAGGCTGAAGTGGATAACACCCTCTGAGATCTCCGTAATTCTTTATATGATAGGAAGGCGGAATTCAATAATTGTTTTATTATTCATTCAAAATAATTCCCAGTTAAAACATAGCTAAAACATGCTTACCTCCATCGATGTTAAGTTCATGTTTGATAGTGTACGTTTAGGGTTGTTCAGCTCCGCAAATATTCTCCAACTAGCAGATGTGGCCCTTCGAGTTGTCTTATTGCTGTTCTTGCCATGTTTTTAGCCAGCCATTACTTTGCCTAGTTCTTGCTCTTGAAACGAGTTAAATGTCCGCCATTTTTGTTTTCACCACCAAAACAACTCAACCTCGTCCCTAGGTCTTCTTGGTTAATGATGCATTAACCTGCAAGGAAGCTGCACTTTTGACGTTGTAGGTTGATTAATCACAAAATTTTTCCAAATTTGGTCATCAGTAGCTAGTTAAGATGAGTTATGTGTGGGCTTTTAGCCAAATGAGAATCGGGGAAATATTTTAAAAGAATATTAATGCATGTTATATTCATGCCCTTTATGATAGACATCAACAAACAAACAAACAAATAAAAAATGATAATTTTTTTTGTTTGTAGAAAAACAAATATTACATTTTACTATTATATTACACATTTTCTTAACATTGCCTTCAAATATATTTTTTTTAACACCTAATTTACATCAACAAGTGTCCCCTATACCCTTGCCTCACCTAAGCACAAGCAATTCTGTCAAACATGAATCACTTAGGTAATTCTAAATACTATTTGCGGCTAATATGAAGTACCCGAGGTCCGAAATGAGAACGTTCCATGTCATGTGCAAGACATCTGAAATGACTGTTTTTCTATCAGTATTTTTTGGTTCGATCCTCCATCACCCTGCGAGCAAGATCTACAATTTTGGCGATCGTATCTCCTTTCGCGTGCGGTTCTCGCGTGATTTCTCGCGACTCCCCCCAAAGGGAGAACTTGCTCGAAGGCTACCTCAGGACTTTCATTAGGTCATTGTTAAAATTGCGAATAGTTAAGGAAAGGGCTCCAGAGAATGAGCCCAGAATCCAGCTCGGAGTGAATTCCCTTAAGGTGGACACATACCAGACTTGCCTATATATTATAGGCGTGTCTTTACAAATTTGTCCGCTTATTGGGCCTGCAAGCGCACCTTATTCTCTCCCCCCCCCCCCACCATATTTTCAACTTTTATTTTTCCCTTTATTGCGTCAGAAATAAAAATTTGTTTTCGTTTTTTAAACCATAGTCAATAAGTTTTTAAAAACACCTTCAAGTCCCCGTCCGGTCCCGGCTCCTCAGCGCACTTGCAGTCCGTAACTCAGCCCCACCCCTATCCTCCACCCTCAAATCCTGTAGGGGTGCTGTGGGGGTATGAGACGAGCGTTCACAAAACATCCAAGATGGCGGACGAAGGTAAGTGAATATCTGCCATAAGTCAGCATTTCCTGTGAAAGATCCCGCGGAAATGTCGAGCTCACGTTTATGGTAGATGCATTTACCAAGAAAAAATTTAGATGGGCACTCTACAATTTTAAGAAATCCCCGACTCGATAGCAAGTCGCGGATTGGCGCAAGGAATAGAACAACCTGGTAGATTTGTGTCCATATACCAGATCATCAATTGCATATTGTATACAATGTTGAGTCTAAATTGCTTGCTTTTGCCAAACATTGTTGCTTAATCTTGGATAATATTTCCGCACAACTCCATACCTTTAATATTCTTGCACCAATCTCATCTAATTTCTCACAAAATTTGGGTAATAAGCTTAAGTTCAGGTCGACACATGTATGATAATAAATGCATTAGACTGTGGGGAATATTTCCAACTATTATATAGATATCCTCATGGAAATAAGTATTTTAATTTCTAATTTCAAAACAGACAGAAGACAAAATGGCACATGCTTCAAAACTGTCTCACAGTGTCATTCTATAAAATCAAACATTTGATGTGTTTTAAAACGTTTTAATTAGTCTTAATTTAAGTGAATTGACAGTTTGTTCATTTTTATTTATAAACGCAAGAAATACAGCTGGTGATTTGCAAGAGATCACCTGCTGGAGCTCCAGTATTGTAGGTGCCTGGTCTTATTTTAAGCACTAATAGAGTCTGCACAGGTTGCCCATGTCACGAAAGATGTAAAATGAACATGATATATTGTTCATTATCATGAAAAAAGGGCAAATTGCATGTTTAAATAGTTCGCAGGCTAATCATGTGCTGCTGTCTCAATTTGATGCTCTCGTTTACACAACTGATATTTACATTTTATTTTTGCAAAAAAAAAAATCAACACCAGTTATAAATGGATTTGGTCAAATCCACCAATATCCAATGATCTTTGCATCATTTAATTGAATGAAATCTGTTCAATGTTGTTTTGTCTTTGATGGCTGCATAGCTGTGAAAATAATGGTAGCCTGGTTTTATATGTCAGAAAAATCCCAGCCAGTTTTCTAGATTTCCCTGTTTCCTGCATGCACCAGATTTTGCTGATTTTCCAGGAAA